CTCTCTCTCTCTCTCTCTCTCTCTCTCTCTCTCTCTCTCTCCACGCTACATCACCTCCGATGCGGGCAGTCCGTCGCCTCGTACCAACACCGAGTCGTCACCCCGCTTAGTTCGAGTACACAAGCGAAGTTTGCCCGTGCGTCACAGTCCGTCGTGGCCTGCATGTCAACCCCTCCTACCCGGCACCAGCTCGTCGGGTCGCCCGACTCACTTCTGCTCATCTTCTCACTTTCATGTTAACCGATCCTCACTGACCGCGCTAACTTCCAAATTATGAGAGAGCAAACTAATCGCGCTTGCGAAATTTATAGCGTGCATGTTTGCGCGATGAACCCGGGATTATGCCTAAGTGAGGGGAAAGGGAAGAGAAGGAAGTGCCTACGCCTGCATGGCCAAGCCGCGGCGTGGGGGACGCAGCCACACTCCACGCATTGATCCGGTCATGCAGTCGCTCAGGCCAATTAGAGTGGAGGACGAGGTATACACGAAAGAAGGGAAGAAGGTGGGGAAACACGAGAGCATCAAGAAGGAGTACAGTTACAATCACGCCCGCCAAAAATTACAGTTACATGTAGGATTAAGGGCGCGATACAGTAAGAGCCCTGTTCCCACTAAAGTGAAAGGCGCACGAGCAAGAAACGAGGCGCAACAAATTCCAGAGCACCTAAATTCCTAGTCTAAAATTCTCTTAATGCTATTTGCAAAAAGAAATTCTGAAAAGTTAAAAAAATAAAAATAAAAAAAATTCAAGAGCCCTCCATCTGTTGTAAATTTGAAAACGATATTCCCGCGAGCTAATCACGCAAAAATTCTCATCTCCCACAACAGAACAAGAAAGAAGCTATGGCAACCGTTATTTATCGCGCTCACTAAGGCGGGGTCACTCAATCGTCGTTGCGGGACTTTCCCGGCCCTGGTCCGAAAAACAAAAAAGAAAGAAGCGAGGGTATCCATGGAACTTGTCCGGCCAACCCCTGTCTTCCATCAAACCAACCAGTTTCCAACCCCTGAAGCCGCTTCGCGCAGAAAGTCGTGTGATTGCAGAAAATAGTTCGTCACATATGTGACGCCCAAAGGGTTCCAATCTTGAGCAAACTTCTGCTTGCTCTCTCATCAGGTGTCGACCCGTGATCAGAGGATCGACGTAAAGCTCGCACGTGCCACTTACCGTAAGATTTGAGTGTGGAAGTAATCCAATGTGGCATTCGTGAGCTCCATTCTAAACGTTACCCGAGAAAGGCAGTCTATTTACGGGCGGAGGAGGTGGTGGATGGACTTGGGGAAGGGGGGGCATGAAGCAACGGACCTCTCGATTGTCAGTGGGGAGTTGGGTGTAATGAATCGTGCGGTGGATGCGGGGAAAACGTGGGTGTCAACGTTGGTGGGGGAGGGAGGCAAGGTAATCGGGATATAGCGTGCAGAGGGTACAATGGATAGCAGCGTGGAAATCGTCATACTCTTCGCACGCTGGGATCGTGCCCGCGATGATACAATACAACTATATGTTATTGAATTCTTGCCAATCTACGCTAAAGAGAAGGACGTGGAGGGGGAAAGAGGTGGTGAGCGAGCGAGTAGTAGCGTGTGGGAAAATAGTGATCAGGAGGCGAGTGGAGAAGAGATGGTGGACAAGGGCGGGAAGGGGTGTCATCCGTGAGGGAATGGGGGTCGGCCTATGAGCTGCTGAAGAGTGAGCAAGTCACAGGGACGACGGGATAATGACCAGGGACGAAGCGCGAGCGCCCGCATCTCAACATTGGCGAAGGTTGGGCCGAGGAAAGGATTGGGCCGGGGATTCCCTTCTTTGGCGACGCCGGCTTCCCGATCCCTCTGTTGTGGCGCCTCCATTTCTCTCGGCCTCCTCTTGTGGCAGTTCCGGATTGAGCATCTGATCGCCCTGTAGCAGTTGCGCGGTGGCCCTCCTGATTCCTCGATCGGCCACTTGCCTTCTCTCACTGCCCGTTTCCTCTATGCCACGACCTCTTTCTCTTCTCTGCTCAGTTCGTTGGAACCGCTAGACTCACACGATCCGGCCTCTTCTTCCTCAGTCTCGTCCCGTTCCGAGTTGGCCTCTTCTGATTTGGCGTCCTCCGATTCGTCATAATCAGGATCATCCGACTCAACCTCCGATTCTTCCTCTCTTGGCGTTTCCCCTCCTTCCGTGTACTGAAGATGGTTGTCCTCCTCGATCTCTTCCTCGGCTGCTTCCTCTTCCTCCTCTTCAGCTTCCTCGTTGGTTTCTCCTACGATCACTCGTCGGATGAGAGGATCCCAGAAGGAGAGATCAATGACGTCGATGATCAGGTAAGCGCCTTCAGAGGGATAATAGCAATGATCCCCGTCGAGCTCCGTGCACGTAGGCCACAGGAGAGGGGGGGTCAAGGTACGGGTGAGTGTGGCAGTCCCGAGCCTTTTGTCACAGCGCGAGAGGATGTCCAAAGGTAGGTCGTCCAGTAGTTGGGTCAAGAACACCAGCACTTCGTCTTCGATCAAATCCAGGTGGTCGTCCCGTACTTCCCCGAACAGGATTCCCAGAAGCTCACCCTCCGTGTCCGTTCTCCAGGCTTGGACAATCAATGACTCCGACTCGTCGTCCGAGATCTCGTCCTCCTCGCTCCTATCAGCAGGTTCCACCCAATGAAAAACTACTTCGACGAGGAAGAAGCTGAGTGCCACGTAAGCATGCCACCACTGTGCCCACTTGGCCACGTCCAGAATCGGCACGTCCAACTGCCTGATTCTAAAGGATAGAGCAGGGTCCACAACAGACTTCCAAAGCGCAGGAGTGTCTGAGGGAAGGCTAAAGGTAGAGAGACGGTGGCGGTTCATTGAGGCTGGGCGGAAGGACGGAGCTCCGGGAGGAGGACCTCTAGCGCGGTGGAGGAAACCCGAAGCTGAATATCGATGTCGTTGGCTGTTACGACGCGGTCGCGCGACCGAGCCAGTAATTGCACCCACTCAGTCGTGATGCGCATTGCCCAGTCTTGCAGTTGTCGGAGGATTGTGGTGTGCCTTGCTGGATGCAATGTTGTGATGTTACCTGTAAAGACGACGATGACTGATACGTGGCTCTCGTCGGGTGGGGACAGGCGTAAGAAGCCCGACACCTCAGCCAATACCCACGCTGCCTCGGACTGCGCGAATCGGAACTCCGCCGCCACGTGAATGGCTGCTGTACTGAAGAAGGCCGTGAACCGGAGAAGATCTGGACTCAATCAAGGACGCTGTACTTGCCGGATTGCAGAGATGGCTCCCCCGGGTACCATTCGTCACTCGCTGATGACCTGTTCAGTGGAGAAACTCATGGTGATGGCGAGGGAAATGAGGGCTAAGAAGAAGAAGGATCAAGGTAGCTGAGATGATCGTCTTCTTCCTCGCTGTCGAGGGACGACGTGGAGGATGGAGGAGAAGGGGAAGATGGAAGGGGGCGAAGGTAGGACACATATCGAATGATCGGACGAGCTGATCGACTTCCCGACACCTCCGGTGCAAGCCGAACATTTCCTCATTTGCGCTACGTCCCCTAACTTATACTGGGGCCGCTGTGGTCGAGCGTTCCCGTTTCGGGCCTCATAGCTCTGGACCTGTCGTCTATGGGCCATTTCAGTTATTCTTTGTCGTTTTCGGGCTAGCCGAGGAAGGGTCTTTCCCATTAATTCCACGTGGCGTTGGGTCTTGTCTTTGACCGTTGCTGAGTTTGCTCTAGTGGTCCGTCGCGGAAGTGTCGTTTCATCATTTAGGCTCGGTAGGGCTACAAATGCCACACTGTTGGTTCGTAATTGGAAGGGGGGCAGGTCGGTGGACTCGTGGGGTGTCCCTCGATGAATAGCTAGGATATGGTCGACGATATCGGGCCAAGGCCTTATATCTTGAGCCGCGATATTACGCCGTAACGTCGTCTTGAGCACCCGGTTGGCATTTTCTACTAGTCCGTTCGATTGCGACATATGGGGAGCGGTATTACGAATCGAGACACCGTGTAGGACCAGATTCCTCAAGACTTCCCCTCGGAATTCTGCCCCGTTGTCAATTAGGATTTCCGCGGTGTCCTGATGAATCCAGAGAAAACGGTTGACATACCGAGCGATTTCTGCTGCTTGTCGCGTCTTACAAGGATACGCCTCTATCCATTTTGAAAAGTGGTCCACAAATACCGAAAGAAGTGAATATTCGCATCTATTTGGTGCAGGGGGCATGACAATATTTGTGGTATCCATGCTGACCCTTTGGAACGACTGTTCAACTTCAGTGGGCACTGGGCACTATTGATCTAGGCAGATAAATTGACGCCTTGTCGACGACCCAAGGGGACAGTTTCAGGCGATAAATTTAACATCGTCGCGAATATTGGACCAGTACCATTCGTTTTTATCGATTGCCACCTCCGTGATTCAGACGACGAAGTGGGCCGTTGTTTCCTCGTGGGCCGACTTCAGGGTTGTCACGCGGGGATCCCCGGGGCCCAAGCCGGGGTAGGGGTTTCAACCCCGGAACCCCGCCGCGGGGCTACCC